ATATAAACTGTCACAAAATGAATCATTGGTTAGAGCTAAATGAGAATTATATTGTATTCTAACTACCTGTTCGTAAATTTTAATGTTAAAAAATAACTACAAGCCACATTGATTATAAGAATAGATTTTTAATTTGCCACTTTGTCTGAAACCCCGTCTGTTTGATGCCATGCCTCCATAAAATTATGTTTTTTTCTTATTTATAAAGCTCTCTTATGAAAAAGTACTTATTCAATCTAGGCTAATTGATGTGATATAAGAAGTGGAAAGTAAGTTAATAGTATGAGATGTATTTACCCAAGTTTGTTTAAAGTAATGAAAGACTGGTGGAAGAATTTTCCCACAATCATGTTAAACGAAATTGGGGGAATACATCTCATATTACTGATTTACTAGTAGTCTCGAAACAATACTATCTCCTCCAGAATTAACAGTATCTTTGATTTCACTAAGACCTAATCAACATTCATATAGGGATTTGATACCAGTTCGTTAGCATTGTGGTAAGGTTACTAATTCACTACACAGCCATGCATCCCAGTGGGTAAGAGGACTGCTTCAAGGCAAGCTAGGCCCCTTCTAATTACATGGATTTGATAGTTTAATATGCGACATTAATTTATAGTAAATATTTAAACTTTTGGCATTCTTGAGCTGATATAAGGGGCGTTATGGACAAAGTTTCTAATATTAGGTTAAGTTGTGGAGCATATTCCATCCTAATTTTGTACCTACCATTATAGTACTGAAGCAATTAACAGATTAAAGTTAGCATAATCCAATCAAATAAGGGATTTAGCTTGTCTTCTATGTTGAAATTTTTGGGCTAGATGATTCTAGACTAAATGCACAGAAATTTATTGCCATAGGAACTGTACGGCATCAAATGCATCCGAGTTCAAATTATTGTTATTTATATTATTATTTCATATTTTACGCGGTTTCTTTTATGATAATATTTTTCCAGCCAAGTAAGCTGGAGTTACTTTAAAAATTTCGTTGGCTCTACATTATTTTCCGAGGTTTGACATAATTACACAAGCAAATGAGATGATCAATGAAAGTAGAAGCGCAGATTTATTTTATAATTCAATTATTCTATGCAAGCAGCCTATGACAAATATATTTGCGTTTATTTCTATAAAAAATTAAATTAAATCAATGAATTAGTTAATTAATAAATATAAATAGCCACTAATTTAATCAAATTAATCCATTATACTTACATTGACATTGGTAGCCTTGCTTGTTAAGACCCCTAAAAAAGAATTACTTAGTTTTAACATTTTCATACATTTTGATAAAAAGTATATACTATAATTCTGGTCTTGATAATTATCATCTGCAGTTTGCATTTAAAATCATCTTAGCGTGTTTTTGATATCCTTTCAACTGTTTTTTAATATTCTCTATCTATTATTTTTTCTGTCGAAAAATATCGTTCATTTTGTGCTCCTGACATAATCGGCTTATATTATTAATGTATCTTTTTAATAGAATAATTGTCTATTCGGTTATCGAGAAGCTGCTCTTATATTACAGCACATATAAGTAGTATAATGATTAATTCCTACAAAATTAGAGCTTAATAATTCCAAGTCATAGAACAATTGATGAGATAGCTAATTATATATTAATCAGTAATATTAATCATCTAAATAAAAACCAAATTATCTGGATATTGAAGCTTGAATTTTTATGAATTAAAAAAAACTGATATCATCAGAAAGAATCCACCCTGCCGAAGAATAAACTTAAATGGGAAAAAGGAAAAAATAGCTTGATATTAATTATTTGTCCAAATCGCCTGATCTTCTCGAAGAGGCTTTTTATATTTTACTATATTTAAATACTCGATAAATATGTTTAATCTAGAAAGACGAAATATGAAAAAATATAGCTTAATCAGAATAAGTAAAATCTGCGCTATCGAATCCTTCGTTTGTATCAAAATTGAATTACGATTATAGATTACTTTCAAAAGAGATCATTCAAAAATATGAACCCTTAATAATGAAAAATGTATTCTTTCACGCCGCCATGTCTCTACGAGACCATCAATATTTTTTTAAATAAATTTCATCCATTGACCAAATATATCCACAGTCCTTTCATAGAATACACCGACTTTTGAAGAGGGAGGCTGTGCATTCATAAAAGACATTATTAATCTCTGTAGTCATTTGATATTGCCATGGTGGATAATATTAAATGGATGACAAATATTCTCTATGAAATTTCTTTATTTAGTAGATTAATAAGTATACACTAAATATCAATTTTAAGATTGGTCTATTTGTTTCTCAATTTAGGACGTTTTTTAAACCACATTCCTTGCATACGAAAAATAAAGAACATTCAATACATTTCACTGTACAAGAAAAGCCCAAATGTATGCCCCACTTTTATATTTTCTACATTCCAACAAACAGAAACTCAACTACGCTTCTATTGCTTATAAAATATCCTCCTAACTACAACAGATTAATGTATCTTATACCCTCTAATCTCAGTCAAATAGAAAAATATTGACGTCTAGAAGAGGCATTATCAGACAGAGTTAAACCCCGAGCTATTTTAGAGGCAGAGCAATATTGTGGTTATAAAAAAGTCTGGAAAAGGCTTTCATGTGAATGATTTCGAGACAATGTCTATGCTGTCACGATTCCGGCGGCATCCTTATTCTAGCTAAATTCTCAAAGGGATTATTTATCCTTCACCCATCCGTGTCTTCGTTCATACAGACTAAAATGAGACCTAGGTGAAAGTATTTTTATTGTCAAGCTATGCACTTAATAAAATTAAATTCAGACCGGCCTCAGATTGTGGTCCAATTCTACCGTTAGCAGGATCCAACATGGTTTATACACAAATAAAGTTGTTTTAAAATCAGACTGATTAGCGTAGTCATCTAAAATGCTTAGAACCTAGTTAATAACATCTATGGAACTCAGAAGCTATAGAATAGAATTCCTACAGAGTAAGGCAGTGCCTCTGCATCGCAGCCTCATCAGTTTATCCTAAAGATATGCATAATATATTCAGGCCTGTAACAACACAAATACCTGGTCCTAAATTAAAACCGTTTAGCCGGGTATGAAATTGATCATATATCTTTTGTGCATAGCATCACCAGCCAGACTGCCGTTTTAACTTCGTAAGAGTGTAAATCTGTAATGCTCTTAATTTATAAGCAAAATGTTGAGTTAGACCTTGTTTAAATAGTTTTTAACAATTCATAACTTTAACTTACCAAAGAAACTCTGAACAGAAGGAGCAATATGTCGGCTGCCGAAAAAATGTAGCTACAAAATTGTGTCCATTTACAACATGCACTTTTAACTGCTTCATTGCACCACGACGCTGAATTCCTACTTTTTCCATGGTGGGTATCACAGCCAGCTTTTTCGCTTCGTAATTCAGTAAATTATCTAAAATATAAATAAATACAGATAGGACACAAAATTATTCTATGTCGTTTGATGATATGGCATAATAATGCCTTAATAAGAGTGTGCTATAGTTATTCAAGATTTGATTAAGTGGATCCAAGCGATCGTCAAGACTTATTTTCATGAGAGAATTGCTATTATTACAGTTCGCTCAGAATACATTATGAAAATAGAATGCCTAGTTGGGGAACCGAATAAAAGATTCCTCAGGTACATATACAAATATTGGAATTTTCATAGCGATTTTATATGAGAAAATGCATATAGTTCTTAATACAACAATATAATAGAATATTTTTATCAGCGAATTTGATAGTTTAAAGTAATTTTCCCAAAAAGATTGATCTTACAATTTTACATAAATTTGAATCCGTTAAAAATTCTCTGCCTCTTGAATTCAACTTAATTCTTCTGTTATATAAGCATATTTACTAATACATGGCTAACATGTAGTCAGATGCTTTAAACAAAATTAAAATAAGAATGATGGATTTCATTTT